AAAAGGGAACCAGTCAGAAATGAAGAACACATTATCTGAGATGAGAAGTATATTAAATGGAATAAACAAAGTGAATAAAGAAGAAGATCAAATGACCTATATAGAGGATGGGAAAGCCAAGGACACTCAATCAGAATGGCAAGAAAAAAGAAGCCAAGACTATAACAATAATTTAAGGAGCCTATGGGACACTATTAAAGGTAAAAATATCAATCTCATTGGGGTATTGGAAGGAAAACAAGATGTTGAATAGCTATTTGAAGAAATAATGATGGAAAACTTCCCTAACCTGGTGAAGGAAATAGACATAAAACCCCAGGAAGCTCAGAGAGTCCCAAAATCCAGAAACCCAAAGAGGTACACATCAAGACACATCATAATTAAAATGCCAAAGGTTAAATACAAAGAGAGAATCTTAAAAGCAGCAAGAGAAAAGCAGTTAGTTACCTACAAGGGAGCATCTATAAGAGTAGCAGCTGATTTCTCAAAAGAAACTATGCAGGACAGAAGGGCTTTAGCTGAGTCCCATGAATTTTGATATCTATAGGTAATGCATTGTTTCTTTCAAGAGACACCATAGCTGTTTTTGAGACTTTTCATCTTTAGTTTTCGGGATTTTGATTATGTGTCTTGGTGTGGATTTCTTTGCATTTATTGAATCTTTAAGTTTCTGCCTTTTGCCAACTTCAGCCATTATTTCTTCCAATATTTTTTCAGACTCATACTCTCTTCTCCTTCTGGGACTCCAATGACATTAATGTTAGACCTTTTGTTATTGTCCCACAGGTCTCTAAAACGCTGTTTTTTTTTTTTCTTCAATTTTCTCTCTGTTGTTCATTTTGGGTACTTTCTAGTGATGTCTTCATCTACTGATTCTTTATCAACTCCATCCTGTTATTAAGCCCATTTAGCAAGTTTTTAAGTTTGGTTATTGTATTTTTCAGTTTTAAAATTTCCATTTGATTCCTCCTTATATCCTTTACTTCTTTTCTAAGACTTTTTGTCTCAAGAATGTTCATAATTGCTCACTAAAATATTTTTATGATGGCTGCTTGTCAGATAATTCCAACGTCTGTGTCATTTCAGTATTGCTGTCTGTTGTCTTTTCTCACTCCAGGTTTGACTTTTTTCATTCTTGGTATTTTAAGTGATTTTCTATTGTATCCTGAACATTTGGGGAGTATTATGACTCTGAATCTTACTTAAATCTATTTTAGCAGGTCTCTGCTGACACCACACTGGTAGGGTAAAGTGAATGTTGCCTCAATGTCATAGGGCAGGGATTAAAGTCTAGGCTCCCCGCTTGATCTCTGATGACACTGTGGGGAGGTGGAGGAGTGCCCCATTACTACCAGGTGAGAGTGGGGATCTAGGCTCACACTCCATCTCCACTGACTGTGGGATGGGAAGGGGAGGTGGGGTGTGGTTTTTTCTACAATACTTGTCTGAGTAGGGCAAACATTGTCAAAAGTTTGTCCTGATAGGCGGCCCCTTGCCTGGTCCTTTGGCTACAGAGAGTAGGTTTTCATTGGAGATTCTTTTGAGTCTGCACATATTGGCCTTCCTAGGTTGCAGGCTTCCTCTGTGCTAGTCTAGGATATATAGAAAACAAAAAGAAAATCCTGGGAACTCACTGCTGTGTCATATCCTTGAGTTCCAAGGTCTCTAGATATTCTCCCTTCTTCTCTCCACCTTTCAGAGTCTTCTCATATTTGTGTTGTGCATTATGTCCAGGGTTTTAGCTGCACTTAGTGGAATAGAAGTAACTGTTTATGTCATTTTGTCTGTAACCATAATCGAAAGCTTCTAATACTTCCATATTTTTTAGCTTATTTTTAAACAAAAATTTTATTTTGGAATAGTTTTAGGTTTACCAAAAAGTTGCAAAGATAGTGCAGAGAATTCCCATAGACTCTATATCCAGTTTTCCCAAACATTTTATGGTATTTTTGTCATAATTGATGAACTGATATTAATTATTAAAGTTCATATTTTATTTAGATTTCATTAGTTTTTACCTAATGTCCTTTTCTGTTCTAAGATCCCATCCAGAATACATTACATTTTGTTGTCATGTCTTCTCAGATTCTTCTTGGATGTGACAGTTTCTCAGATTTTCCTTGTTTTTGATGACCTTGACAGTTTTGAGGAGTCAGGTATTTTGTAGAATATCCCTCAGTTGTCTGATGTTGTTTTTCTCATGATTAGACTGGGGTTATAAGTTTTGGGGACAAAGACCACAGAGGTAAAGTGGCTTTGCCATCACATCATATTAAGGGTACAGACTATCATTATGTCTAATCATTGTTGAGGCTGACTTTTACCACCTGGCTGAGGCAGTGTTTTTCAGGCTTCTCCACTGAAGACGGAAATTCCTCTTCCCTCACTGCACCCCCATTTCATACTGTAGTCTTTGGAAGTCACTATACGCAGCCAATATAGTACCTTTTTTTACACTTACATCAGATCTTGCTTTCCTCTAACAAATTTTGACTTGTTGAAGGCATTAATTTTTACTGGGTCCACGTTTTTCTAAATATTTCATTTTAATGCTCATTAGACCGATATGAAGCAAAGATGAAAAGGCATTTTTTGAGAGACTAGTTCTCTTAATACTTTCGTGTACTCAAAACTAATATCAAAGCTTTTAAATATTGTAATAGCCATTTTTAGGAAAACCTAACATTATATGTAGTTATAAGGTCAATGGAATTATTCTGAATGCTTTGTTTCAAAGAAAATTTTCAGAAGAAATAGAATCACTTCAGTTTTCCTGGGAAAGCTTATTTTAAAAAGAGCCTTAGGATCATGACCCTCCTAAATTACAAAAAGGGAAGCATGACTGTTAATTTTATATTTGTCCTCTCATCATAGGGGACAAGATAGACTAGATAAAATGGCAGAATGGTTTGTGCTTTGTGTGGACTTCACAGTACACTGAGACCTGTAAAAAAATCATCTTGAGTACACATATGTCTGTATAATAGGACTTGAAACATTATGTTACTCTTTTATATTATTAAAGATCATCAGAAGTTTTATGTTTTCACTATTATGATGTATTTATTAGTACTATAATTTGTTTGATGCTGAGGTTCTGGATATGAGTAATTATTGAGAAAATATGGTTTTACAAAATGGTTCCAGGAATATGCTGTAGAGAGAAAGGATGACTGCTTAAAATATTGTTACAATGCTATCTATATTAAGGAACCTTTGTGCAATACCTGACATCATGGTAAACATAACACTTTCTGATGTTACATTATTTTCCTTTCATCCTTTTTCATTTGATTAAATGTCTTGGTCATATATACAACTGATCACATCAACCTAGCACCTTTCAAAGACATCATTCAATCTTTGAGTGACTCTCACCAACTCCAAATTATCCACCTTATTTTCACCATAAGCATTTTGAAAAAGAGGTGTAATGAGGGGAGTAACCTTATTAGATAGTAAAACAACATAAAGAAAAATAGTTAAAATAATTAGATATTGGAGAAGGTACAGATAAATGAAATAGAGATTCAAGAAAAAGACCCAAATTCAAATGGGAATTTAACACATGATAAAAGCAGTATTTCAAAAATAGCTGGAAAAAGATAGTTATTCACTAGATAGTAGTGAGAGGTGATGGAAAGGGGGTAGCTCGATCTTTATCTCATTCTTTACGTCACATTAAATTCTACCGGATCCAAAATTTTAACATTAAAAAAAAATCAAACCATGAAAATGCTGTTAAAAAGAATTAACATTTTAACTATTCTGGTTAGTAAAAGTATATTATACAAAATTCAGAAACCATAAAATAAAAATGTAGTAACCTCTGTTTGTTTTAAAAAACACATACACCCCAAAATAAACCAGAGAAGTTAACATTTATCTACCAAAAGTAAATACACACACACACATGCACACACACACAAATTCAAAAGAGAAATGACAACTGCGAAAGGCTAATAACTTTAATGAATTCAGAAGTTTTGCAAAGACAAACAAAAAATAAAACATGAGGCAATAAACATAGGAAGAGATGCCTAGCCTCACAATAAAATGTAAATAATTTCTCACCCAGTAGATTAAAAAAAGTGAAAATTCCATGGGTGAAAAGTTCAAGGCCACCAGGGACTGGCACCTTTCTTTGGCTCACTGTGCCATCTTTTGCATGTGGCCGTCTTCCACATGTTCCCAGGGTGGCTGCTGCACCTTCAGGCATCACGTCCAGGAACACCAGGAAGAAGGGGGACAGGTAGGGAAAAGGCAGAAGGTTCCTGCTCCAGAGTCTATGCCCTTTAACAACTTTCCTTGGAAGCCCAATTCTGCTTATACCTTATTTGCCAGAACAGTGCCGTGGCTGCATAGCAGGCTGGGAAAGTGATTCAACTTTTTATCATATAAAGTATATAAATCCTAAGTATACCACTTATGGACTTTCACGAAGTAAATATCTCTATCTGGCCAGCATCCGGCTCAAGAAACAGAGTGGGAACAGCCTCCTTACAACTCCCCACGTCCTCCTTCCCAGTCACTAGAGATAGTATTTTAATGGGTACATTCTTATTGTGACATAAGTTGGGTTCTTTAAGGAAAAAGTGATATAACCAGCAGTCTTTCACACCCATTATTTTATATATTTGTCCAAAGGTACTCTTATTCTTAAATCTTCTCCCCAAATCTTTCATTCTCAGTCCAAGAAATTTTCCTTTAAGAGAGAATGGTTGATATTTACATTTTCTGTATTCTACCTACATTTTTGTAATGTGAGACTGGGACCAAAAACAAGCTGACCCTGAGCAGGAGCTTTGGCAGCAGCAGACTTGTCAGTGGATGCAATGAGAAGGTCCCTGTGGAATGCTAACCAGGTCCCTGAATTTGTAGAGGTCCACAAATATGGAGATGCCCTAGAGAACCATTAGGGACCCCAACCATGAATGTGATGAATATGGGAAAACGCTGCAATTCTGTCTACATTTTTTAGAAGTGAGAAAACCCAAATATAAGTGTTACCAAATCTTAGAATTCAAAATTTATTCATTATTACAGTATTCAGATTGGAGAGAACATCTTTGTTATGAATACAGGCAACTTTCCTTGGCTCCCATTCTACTGAACATCTTAACATCTATCTTGGAGAGAATCCCTGTTTGTGGGAGGCATCTGTCAGCATCCCAGCACCACACAGCATTAGCTGATTCACATGCAGTAGACACTCTACAAACGCAATAAATGTGAATGCTTTTAGGAAAGTAAAGCTCATTCAACGTCAGAGAATTCACACTGGAGAAAAGCCATATGCACGTAATGAATGTAAAAATGCTTTTACACAGTGTTCAGAGCTAATGAGACATCTGGGATTTCATGGCAGAGAGGAGCCCTAAGAGCATAATGGATGCGGAAGAACCTTCAATCAGAGTTCCATCCTTAGACAATGTCAGCTAATTCACTTGGGACTTAAAATGGTCACATGTGATGAATATGGAAATCTAGGGGAGGCGCTGAGCATATTGAACATCAGATCATTCATCCTAGAAAGAAGCCTGTGAGCATCATCAATGTGGAAAATCATTTGGGGACAGCGTAGCCCTTTCTCATCATTGGAGAATTCACAGGAAAGACTCTCTCATGTTATAAAGATTGTGGGAGAGTGTTTAGTAATCAGGCAAATTCATACTGGAGAAAAACCTTGATTATGGAGAATGAGGAAAAGCCTTTAATTCTTTTCCGTATTGGATTTTGGAGAATCCTTAGTGATACATGGGGAAATTTTGGGAAGAATTTGGGCTTTATTAAGTATCACATGAAAGTATTAATTGCATTAAGTGGGGGTTTTGACCGTTTGCTTCCTCCACCCCAACCAAAGCTTTCATTCCTTTCTCTGATTATCTCATAGGATATTTTTGTCTTTAATGACTTATCTTTCAAATATTATCATTGCTTTTATAAGGCTAACTTCTAATTATACTAGGTTCGCAGTATATTTCTGCTGAATAAATGAAGTAATATAATACACAAACATCAGGGTTGTTGGCCTGGTTTTGGCCTTCGGGGGCAGGGCTGTATAAAAGATATCTGGGGTGCATAAGGGTGCACCGAGAAGGGCAAGGCTCAGTGACAGAATCTGGTGGTTGCAAATTCTATTATCACTGCAACACGTGTTTGGGCCCCATTAATTTTATGAACATCTACGGGCCACATTTCTATACTGTTGAATATTACTTTCGGATGGGAAATGGGTGGGTGACTTCTCAAGTTTTGAATGAAATGGAGTAATCTGTATTTGTAGGATACATGAGGAGGATGCCAGTTTATCTGTTTTATATCCAAAACTAGAAGTTTGAAGAGGAAGGGCTAGAGTTCAAGTTCAACTTCTCATTTGGTAAGGGAAGGACTGGGCAGTTTTTCTTGTGTTGAAAAAACAAAAAACATACTGCTTGGTAAAAGGTGGACCAGAAGAGAGCTTAATCTAGTCTTTATCAACTGACTGCCTTCTCTCTTCCCAGCCTAACTTCTTATCCCCAGACCAGGATTCTAAGTCTTCCAGAAGATATTGTTGCCTCCCACTATATTCACTCTCCCATTGAGGTAGAAGAGATTTGGGTCTTGTGCATCTCTGGCTCCTGGCTGTGCTTAAAGAAGACAGGAAGGAAAGGTAGAGAAAAAAGGGAGAAGTGGAGAAAAAACAAAGAATGAAGAACGTGAGGAATGCAGCTATGCAGGGAATGGCAACAATTCAGGGCACCTTACTCCTAAGAGGATCTAAAATGTCATTAAATCTGGCTGGAGAGTAACTACAAGACCTAGCCTCCCACCAGTTTAGTTCCAGCTGCCATAGGCTACTTGGAGCCCATAAAATACTGCTGTAGACACTAGTCATTCAGTTCACCCACCATCTGCCCATACCAGTTTGCTGTTCCTTCCGTGTGCTTTCCATGGCTTTCTCGTCCATGCCTGGGCTCTGCATCTCAGGCATTAACACTTCTCCACACCCACACCCTTCCCGCTGAACTTGGTCTTCTTAAAATTCAACATTGAGACCCATTTTAGAAGACTCATACTTATGCATCTAGAACTTTCCTGAATCTATTTATTTTTCCTTGTCTGTGTTCTATAGGCCCTGGGAATTGGGACCAAGTGCTGAAATTGCTCTGTAGGCTGTGAGAAGTCTTGACTTTTATTTCTTACCATGTAAGATTTCCAATGTCTAAACTGGGGTTGGAGCTTTATCAAGAACCATGGGGCTCTAAGGAGCTGTATATGGAGAGGTTCAGAGGAGTGCTATCCTGGTTAAAAATGCCTAAAGCTTCAAATAGCAGAAATCTGCTTAGAAAATAAAGACATTTAACTAATATCAAAAAGACTAGAAGAAGGTGGTTCCAGGATAGGTATAGTGGCTCAACAACATCATCAAGAACCCAGGCTCTTTTTATTTGTCTGATTGGCTAACCTCGGTATGTTGGCTTTTTCCCCTTGGTCTTGTTGCCTCATGGTCTCAAGATGGCTGCTATAGCTCTTAGTATCATGTCCTCAAACATCCATGTTCAAAGCAGGAAGAAGATACATGGCTCTTCACTATCTCTCCTTGAATCAAAAAGCAAAATTCTTCCCAGAAGATCCCCCAGCCATTTTCTCATAAGTTTAGGCAGAACCAAGTCACATGCCCATTTCTAAGCCAACAATTGACAACAAAGAAAATAGGTAACCAGCTAGCCTGCTGTAATGACACTCACAGGTGAGCCTGGGCCTAGTAAGCCCAGGGGCACTAGGACACCTCTCTTTGCCTTTCACGAGTCCCAGCTCTGCTCTGGTCATTACCTCCTTTATCCTCTTGCCAAAACCAGGCTCATTTTTCCCTCTACTATAAGTGCATTTTCTCTGTGTCATATCTTTTTTTTTTCAATCTCCAAGTTTCTTCTTCACTTTAGTTCTGGCTAGCACAATGGTCCACCCAGGCCCTTCCTGCCCTCATAACATCTTGTCACACTCTGCCTATACTGTCTGATTTTTTGGTTCAAATTTCCCAAAAGGAGACTCTGACCGTCCAACTCGCTTTCCTTATATTTTTGTGCCAGGTGACTTTGAAAGCTGTTGGCAGGCCTATACATGGATCCTGGTCCAGTGACCTGTATGTGTGCATGGGGAGGGGCAAAGAAGCAAAGTCGTGTGATACGACACAGCCACCTCGCAGCGGGGGCTGTATGAGGCAGTTCCCTACAGAAGGGATTGCGACGTAGGACAGGTATGGTGGAGTAGAGCAACAGTATAAGATTAGGCTACTCTACCAAGAGAGAGGACACATGAGAGAAGACGAAGGCATGAGACGCATGAGTGGAAAAAGCCATTTTGGACATTTTAGCCCCATTTCAGAAGATACCACATGAAGAAGAAAGAAATCCAGCTGGCTGACAGAACCAAGGCCCCTGACCTATGCCACAGTCCAACCACTGCAGCCAAAGCAGCCATTTGGGCCACTCCAGCTGAGGCCCAGACACAGTGGAGCAGAAATAAATTGTTCCTGCTTTGTTCTACCTGAATACCATACAGGATTGAGAGCATAATCACAGATTCTTGAGTCTGCCATAACTCAAGAATCTCCCCGAATTCCCACAGCAGAAATTCCAGTGACTGCTTGGAGAAAGCTGCATGTCTCTCAGGAACATGACTTTAACAGGGATTGGAAGTGGTCAGCACCTGCTGGACTTGATCTCTTACAAACCATTCTGTGGCTCTGACAGGCTGAAGAAGGGACTGTGGAAGAAGGACTATTTCGATATGGCCATACGAAAGACAGAAAGGGGACTGGTTATTCCAGAAAATGGAATTAAAAATTCTGCAATGGGAAAACTAGAACTTTCAAAAGCATGGGTAATGGGCAGACCTGGATTTGAATCCTTGCTCCTCTGCTTATTAATTCCATGACCTTGGGCAAGTTATTTAACCTCTCTAAGTCTTATTTTCTTCATTTGTAACATGAGGATAGAAACATCCTATTTCACAGGGTTGTTGGGAGGATTAAATGAGATACTGCATGTGAAGCACTTGGCACAGCTGGCACTAAATGCACATTATTAGCTGCTGCTATTGTTAGAGTCTTACGCACTCTGTGGGTGGGGTCTGAGCTCCACTGAGGAGAGTCAACTTGCCAGTGACCACCAAAAGACGCTGTCCTGGCTGTTCTGGATGGGGAGCTCTCCTGGTGTCCTCCACGGTGGGTAGCGGGGAATGGGGTGTTTTTACATACCTTAAAGCACTTTACAGCTTTCTCTCTAGACCAGTTTCTTGAGCAACTTCCTAGAAGCCTTTGGAATAGCCTCAGCCATCTCCCTAGGAGTGCTGAACTTAGAGTCACCTGTGCCTCCACTCCCTTCCTCCTCCAATAGCCTTTACTTAAATCCATACCAACCCCCTCTCTGGTTTCTGTAATTTCTTATTCAATTTGGTCTTGGGATAGTCATCAGAGGTATTCTGGATGCTCACTGTAAATGACATTCCAGCCAAAACCCCAGTCACAGCTGTACTCCTGTCCAGAGACAACTTCATGAGCTTGTAAGCCTCTGCTAAGCAGAGGAAGAGGCAGCTGGCCAGACCCTCCGCCTTTCTTTCCCTGCTTAAAGTTCCATGACGGGCTCATATCTTCACTAGGCTCAAGGTTTGGCTACTGGACAGCAGCCTTGGGTCCCTAGGAAATGCAGTTCTTATGCGCAGTGCCAGATGCGCAGTGCCAGCACTAGGGACTACTGCATCTTATCCCACCAAAAACATTCTGACTGGCTGTTAAAAAAAGGTAGAAGAGCTCCAAGGCTCTATAAAACTCTGGATATAGACACAAAACGTGTCACCCCCTTTTTTTTTGTAGGGGAGATAAAAATTTTGCAACTAACAAAAGGCAAGAGGCCTTTTCTGCATTTTGTGCTTGGGACTCAGACCTCCTCTATGCACTAAAGGGACAACGTACCCTCACAGGCCAGTGGGAGTGGGTACAGTAATTAACGGGTATTCTCGTTATCTCCATGAACTCCTCAGTTGCTTGTGACTGCAGAAGCATCTATCTACTCCGTGCCAGATGAATACCTACTATGTGCCAGGTGCTAAGCTAGGTACTGTGAATATGGAGATGCCCTCAAAGAGCTCCGAGTTCATGCTAAAAATGGTCCCTGTAGCCATATTTAATGTCTGATGGACAGCTGCGACACTGATTTCTTGCTTGTTCCTTGTCTCCCCTTCCCTAAGATCATTCCCGAGATTAGCACAATGCATGGTGGCTAGCAACAGCTCTCAGGCAGAGTTGAGGCAATGGGGACGAAGCATCTGCCATGTTATGGATGTCAGGGCTAATGGGGCTGGCCTGCCTGGCTGGGGGGCGGATGTGAGGCGCAAGAGGTGCCAATCAGGATGAGATCATCTTCCTCCTGTGTGATCTGGAGAGAATGACCAACAACCATCACAGAGAAGGCAGGCTCCATCTTCAGAGGTAAACACACCTGCATCCATGACTGCCCTGAACTACAAATTCGCTGGGTTCGATTGCAGTGTCCACAGCCGTATACGGTGGCCAGTCCACAAACTGTCCTGAAGCTTTGGTGGTGTTCAGAGGTGCCATGGAGAATACAAAGGACAAGATGTGATTCTTCCTCAAAGAGCTTTAAGTCTGAGAAGAAAAAGGCATAAAAAGTTCTTGAAGGAGTAGAACATTACGTGAGTGCTAAACGGGTTTTACAAGCAGCGAACTCTCATGGACATGCAGAGCAGAAGCCCAACTGTAGGCCTCCACAATCCCAGGAAGGCTTCAGGGAAGAAGTGGGCTTTGGGCCAGGCTTGGAGCAGATGGGCAGAATTTGGTGGGGGGCTGCATTCCAGGTAGAGTGCGACATGAGCAAATGACCATGGGTGCTCAGAACATAGGTCATTCTTCATTCCCTTGTGAAGTAAAGGGCTCAACTAGAGCTTTCTTGGCACTGCTAAAAGCCAGAGGCTGTTTTCTTGCCCAGAAGTTTCTCAGGTACAGGGGCCTGTGACACTCTCATTCCTATGGTGTCATTATACTGTGAAACCAGGGCCAAGGATGTGCTGTTAACACACTCAGCCTTTCTGCCAAAGTAGAACCGTGGGGTCATCCTGGGAGGACTGCTTCTCTTCAGAGTCCAGGACTTGGGAACTTTATGTTGGTAAAGATAGCACTTTGGGAAATCAGACTAAGCCCAAACTTTGCTCCAGTGGCATTATACACATGGCCAAACATCTGGACAGAATTCTGGCAGAATATCAAAGAATTCATAAAGTAGAAGAAATCTTTGAATATTATGAATAAAGAAAAATTTCCATTCATCTTCTAATTTATACTATAGAGACACCCTATGAATAATACCAATGTAGGAAAATCCTTAGAGGCAGGCAGGCAGCTATCAAAAGAGAAAATCACAGGGCACAGCCACAGCAGTGATGAAGCAGAACTCACGTCAGAGCTCAACCTTTACTGTCCCACAAAGGAGAAAACTTACATCCTCAATGCATGGAATGATGCTCCAAGAAATTACTAACCTCGCCCAACAGCAGATTAGTCATTCTGGAGCTAAACCTTTCAAATAAACTGGGGGTGGTAATCGTTTGATGAGAAATCAGCCCTATTCATCACCGGAAGATTCTAACTGGAGAGAGGGCCGCTGCTTGTCGTCATGAATAAGGGAGCTTTTGGGGGTGATCTGACCTCACAGAACACGGGAGACCATGAAGGACCCAAGGAGGGCTGTCAGAGGGACCTCAGAGCACACGTGATATAAAATGTTCACATGAGAGATGAACACAATGAAAGAGTGAATGTAGATAATGATTTTGTTAGAATTTGTACTTTCAGTACCAGTCACAGACAGACTTTGGCTGTAGGGAATGCTGGCACCTTGTGAGAGAGAGTTTGCTCAATGACAGTCAGGCACATGTAATCCTTGGGGGCCACTTGCTGGGGTACCTAATGCCATGAAGAAGAGAAGAATTGGGGCTCCACAGCTCTCCTTTTCCATGGGGCTACAATGTTTCTTTATTGTACCTCTTCCTTCCTCTTTCTTCAGTACAGTCTTGGCCTTGTGTTTTCACATGTGCCCAACCTGTTACTGGTGTTGTCCAGTGGGCAGGAGGCTACCTGCCCATCAACAGGCTGGTGACTACCATTACATGTTTAACAACTGGGGAATATGCCTCAGGGGATGCTGCTGCGCTGGGCTCACTCATTCACTCGTTCATTTGTTCATTCATTCATTCATTCAACAAGTGTCTTTCTAGCACCTGCTCTACTCTCTACCTGGCACTATAATCTGTGCTGGGAATAAAGAACAAGGAAGAAGGAGGTATCAGCAACAAGTGGCTTTGGGGAATCAGGAAAACAGTAGCATCTTTGAGATTGCAGGGGTGTCTGTGTCTCAAGGTTGTAGAGTGGAGGAGTTAGGAGAGAGCAGTGGGACGGGAAGGAGGAAGAACTCTGATCTAATGACTATCTAGCATGTGTCAGGCCAGAATACGATTTCTCAGAGAAATCCTGCAAGCCCGGCACTCATTATCTCCACTTTGTAAACAAAGAAAATAAGGTACATGCACAGCTAGTAAGTGGGAGAGCCTTACTTGAAGTTAGGTCTTCCTCACTCCAAATCTCACTATCTCCCAACCATCACAAGGGAGATAACAGGGCCTTTAGCACCACTGTTCCTTGGGTATGTTTCCAGAGACTGAGAGAACAATGAGATGCACCTGGTGAACCAGGAGGGAGAAGGGAATGGAAAGAGAGAAATGGACTGGCTTTTGAAGACTACTTCAGGGAATAGGGAAAGGCGTTCATACCTTCATCCACTTATTCCTTCATCCATTCAGTAAGTCTTTATTGAGCCCTATGGAGTGCCAGGTGCTGTGCTCCGGTGCTGGAGATGTGAGTGAATAAGACTGACATGGTCCCTGTCCTCATGGAACTTCCATAGGAGGCAGACAATCCAGCATGCAATGCATTTTGAAAGGGCCCCACAAAAGCACAGAGGAGAATCACATAACCCAAACTCACAGGGTTAAGAGTGACTTCTGGGAAGAAGTAATACGTCAGCTAAGACCTGAAAGAATAAGTATCTGCCTGGTGTGTGCTGGGACGTGCCCTCCAGAGAAAAACATGGTGACAGAGCAGAATGAAAGGAGGTGAAAGGCAGCCAGTGTAGGTGAGGAACACAGAACATGGGGTGGAGGTAAAGAGGGACCGAGTCTCCAGGGCCCTTAGAAGGAGCTCAGAATGGACTAAGAACTATGGGAAACCTTGTTAAATTTGGGGGATGACCTGATCAGGTTTGTGGTTAATCCCTTTACTCAGAAGCCCAAGGCTGCAACAGTGAGGAGAGGAGAGAGCTGTCCAAGGAGTCATCAAATTCAGGCAGACATGGTGAAAAACTGAACATGAGAGTTCTGTCTTTTTTCCCTCATGAACCAAGGTTTCTAAGAGATGTAGCGAGCAGCATGAGCAATGTGGTGAGGACTAGCTACGGGTGGCCTTGATGAGAACTGCCAGTTCCTGGATTCCAAGGAAAGACAGATCTGATGTTCCCCACAGGAGGCTTTGGAACAAGTGTGCATTAGCAAACACCCCCTCTTGTGGCCGAAAGCGGTATAGCTACTGTGTTCATAAACAGGCCTGTGGAGACCTTGGTTCTCCTGAAAGCCAGGTGAAAGGAAGTCGGGGCTGCATGCAGCTGGGGACCCCAGGAGGATCCCCCCACTTTTTTAAAACAAAAACCTGAATAATGGAGAAAATGTAGATATATATAAGTATATATGTGCGTAGAAGAAAATGCTAGGAAGACAATGTTATCAGTGATTTGGGAATAGGTGACTTTTTCATCTTGTTTATGTGTACTTAAAAATTTTGTTATGGACATATATCACTTTTGTTTAAAAAGAGAAAAAAAGTGTGTCATGTTACAAACCTGGCTGGTTACAAAGCCATGCAGAGAAAGTCTGTTTTGGGGGACGAAGCTTCCTGAAGGACGCCTTCCCTCCTCTCTCTCTAGCCATGTCCTTCAAGCCCCTTCGGCTCACATATACCCCGGCCTCTCCTGCCTTGGCGGTCCCTGCCCCTCAGCCTTTTCTCATGTGCTCAGCTTTACCTCATCAAAATCACACCCTCCTGACCTGGTCACACAGGTGGGCCTGATCACCAGGTTCTGGGAGATTTGGAAGTTGGTTCCACACACTCACACTTGAGGGTTCTGTCCCATGTGGGCTCTGACGCTGAATGAGAGCTGGGTCTGCCATACGTGGTACATCCATGCAGTCTTTGCCTGGATGACTTTTCTGATTTGGAACAAGGGGCTCACCTGGCTTGCAGGTTTGGTCACATTTGTCACCTTCACAGCTTCAGTCTCTCCTGCTTGAAACTCTTCTCGTGGGCAGGGAAGCTGCTTGGCATCTCCTCTGGAAGGTTCCCTGATGCTGGACTAAGGTACTGAAACATTCTGGGGCATCTCCAAGCTCAGGTGCCTGCTTCCTTGGAGTCTGCCTGAGTCGTACGTGGGGCCTTTATACAGCAAGTTCCTGATGTGAGCTGAATTCCTTGTCCTCAGTCCTGAGGTCTCCATCTGAAATCATATGTAGAAAATCCAAATTTACCTGTTTACTATGCAAAAAAAGCCATCAAAATAAAATTAATGCCTACCACTGGGGATCAATCGCACAAACCACTGCATGTGATACAGCAATGAAAAATGAGGTTGCAGAATGATTGTACACTAAAAAAGAAAAAAAAGTTATAAAATTCTATATATGTAGTGAGATTGTTAGTTTCATTTTATTTTTAGGCATATTTGTATTATCTAAATATTCTATAATGAATGTGTATTACTTTTATAGTAAGAAAAATATCCTCTATTTTACAAACCTGGGGAGCGGATGAGGAAAAAGCAGAGGATCAAAGGCATAGTGGGGTGATAGAAGTTTGAGAAATTTGGGAAGAATAACTTGAGCTTCCTGGCCACATGGGAAGAGGGTGTGCTAAGCTGTTGGCTGAGGAAGCTGCTCCAAAGGGCCAAGGTTAGTGACCTCCAAGGAGTGGAGTCCTGGGGCATCCCTTGAAAGGCAGCAGGGGATGGAGGTTTGAGGTAACTGCAGAAAGGATAAAGAGGGAGGAGCCCAGGCAGAGGGAGGAAGGTGGGGTTTGAGGGTATGGTCCTGTGTTGGACAATGAACTCATACACATCATAAACAATAATTTTAAAGTAACTTTTATATTTAAGCACTTTGTAGTTTACATTTCTCACTTTCTCCTCTATTATTTTATTTGATGCTCACAGATGAGAAAAGAGGCTCAAAGAAGTTAAAGAACTTGCCCAAGATCACACAGCTAGTATATGGTGGAGCTGAGACCTGAATCCAGTAAGTTCCAGTGCTCATGTCACTGGGCTATGCTGCTCAGCTGTCCTTCAGGAGCATGGACAGTGAAGGTGTATAAAGGCTTAAGGCCAAGGGGGGTATTACAAACATCAACTGGTAGGGCCCAGACACTGACTGAGAACAGATGCTGGTATCATCTGGAGACCCAGAGGCCTCTTGCAGGACCCAGTGACAACTATCAGTTGCTGGACCCTGGGGGTCACCAGGGGGGGTGGCCAAGGTGGCTGTCAGGGCACTCGAAGACATGGCAGCAGCTATTTACCAACTAGTTGAGAAGCATTTCAATATTTTAACAACCCATCCATCCATTCTGGTGGGCATCAGATGAATATCAGCCTTTCCTCTGGCCTCCACTGCTTCTGTGGCTGAGATCCCAACAGGTGACAGGATACTCTAGAAGTTGTCCAATGTATCACTTTTTTCAGTGTGGGAGCTTTTCAGTCAAAGCACACTCCAAAAAGAGACTTGATGTTCCCCTAATGTAGGTGAACAATGGCATGTCCAAATCTGTGAAGTCAACTCTTGGTTTCTTGTGCTCATGCAAAGATCAGTGGGCACTGTTACTCTAAAGCAGCAAACCCCTAGTGGTGTTACTTGACTTTGCAATGCGTGTGTATAGTCCTGTTACAAAGGTGTGTTGAGTTCTGAGAATTTATAGCAAACAGAAACAGTGATGTAATGATTCCTTTCTGAAGAAGGACACAGGAGTGCGGCCAGTCCCTCTACCTTCCCTGCTCCCGGGTGGATGAGGGTGGATGAGGGTGGATGCCTGTGGATGCCTGAAGGGGTCTGTTCTCTTGATTCCCAAGCCCCTTGCCTTTCTCTGGAGCAGGGCCCCTACAAGATGGTCTGATCTCCCCGGTTCCTTTGAAATGCTAAGTACAGGCTGCATGAAGGGAAGAAGAAAAGATAATGTTATTGTCGAATAAAGGTCTCCGTGAGCCCTACTACTGAGTGAGATTTGGCTAAAAAGCTACCACACCAGAATTCAAAACAGATCAGTACTGTGCACTGTGTAACTCTCTTCAGGGAATGAAGGACATAGCTGTGGCTGGGGCATCTTGGATGACTGAGATTAGGGTTTTCGTTCTCTTTGCTGTCCTCCAATGACCTCAGTACCTCTGAGCGCTGGACTAAAGGTCTTATGCTAGTTTGATGATCACATTCGACTCAGCACAGATCTTCAGCATAAGAGGGGCCCAGGAAAAAGGAGCAAAGACCCTGATCTCCCCACCAGAAGATGCTGCCTCTTACCACTGGCTTGGAGCGGTGTTGCTCCCAAGACCCACATTTGAACTGGGGTTCAAATGGCTGAAGTTGATGATGCATGGGGAGTCTTGTGCTGGTGGTGGAGGTGCCATCTCTCCCCAGAAAATGTCCTTTCCTGGAAACAATTAAGAAAATTGGGAGCTCTGAAAGAAATAGAGGTAATTACTTGCTCTAGTTAGACTTTTTCCCCCCAGCGTATTTCTTCAAAAATTATTTTCTAATTATAAAGCAACATGTATTCATTGCAAAAATTAATTAAATGTTACATATTTAATAAAAATGTTCAAAGAGAAAGTCGTTCATAATCTTATTTCCTAGAAATAATGTAAATTTTAAGAATTTAAAAAATTTTCCCCACCTTTGAGGTACAGAATTAAGTTATATATATTTAAGGTATACGACTTGGTTTTAAATTTTGATTCAAGTTTTGATAAAAGTTATTTTGAAAATTAATAACTGATTTATATTAAGTATAATTTAGATCTACTGATATGACCATATTTCTTGAATTTTTCCCTAAATGTCCTAGTTTCAAATATTCTGTGTAGTTGTTCTCAAAAGCCATCAGGAGAGGACAGAAATTCCAGTTTTTCTGAATCCAGTGTACCTCTCCTAGTTGGCTTGTAAAACCTGGAAACAGTATGCAAATCTTTTGTTAGGACACTTAGTATTAAGTTTTCTACTGCTGTGTAACAAATTACTCCAAAACTCAGCAGCTCAAAACAATGTGAATTTTCTGTCTCTGAGGGTGGGAAATGTGGGAGCAGCTGAGTTGGGTGGTTCTAGCTCAGGGTTCCTTATTAGGATGAGGCCAAGATGTCTGCTGAGACTGAGAATTTTTTCAAACTTTGGATTTGTGTTCCCAGAAGTAACAAGTTTGCTAAGAGAATGTGGAAAGATAACACATCTCAGAGTCTTTCTGAGAGAAGGGAGACAGACAGAAGGGGCATGGAGTCAAAATCCTTACTTCTCAAGTTCAAGAAGAAGGTGGATAAGGAGCTCCAGGAGTGGGAACCTCAGCCAGAAATGTGAAACCTGCACTTGAATCTGTATTGTGAAAGAATATATATTTCAGTTTCTATAAAGGATGATTTAAAAATTGAGTGGTTTAAATAATGATTTAAATGAAACATAACCAGGTAAGATTGAGAATTAGAATGTCAGAGAAAGGAAAAAACCAACAACAACAAAACTCTAGGAAATCATCCAAGGTCTAATTTATGTCCTAATGGTAAAAGGGAAGAGCTAAGAGGACTAAAAGAAACAGTGTTGGGTCTACATAGATTTGGCCTTAGTTTTCTTTGGAGGAGGATGGACCCCTTCCTATTCGTTCTCTATTCTCATACCTGCTGGCCTGGTTCATTGAATTCTTGCACTCACCTTCCAGTACAAGATCCACCTCCTCTCCACTGCCCAGGTGGCTGTCTTGCGGCTCATGGGGCAGGATGGCAAGGAACTGCTCCAGTGCCAGCAGCAACAGGATCTGCTCCTTCGAGTGCATCACAGGCCTCGGCCACTGGCAGCAGAGTCGCCAGAGGCATCGCAGACCCTCATGGGATCCCAAACCTCCTGTTTTAATTGTGGACAGGCCAGCTCGCAGCTGAAAGATTCCTTGGCAGTATGGTCTCCTTCCCCTACAAGTGGTCCTCTGCCTCCACCTTCACCATCAGAATCCTGCCCTGTTTTTGAGGGATCTGGGCGAACAAGGACACAGTTCCCCCTTATTGCTGTGGTCAAATTCTTGACTGGAGAAGTCCCCAAGGAGACTCACTTGTGCTGTGGGAAGGTTAAGTTTCAGAGAAACTCTTCATAAGCTTCTTTATATTTGACACTTTCTGAAACACATAAAATACATTTTTAAAAATTAACTAAAACCTGATTATGTAAATTTTCAATCCCACTAGATAGAATATGTTAATACAACGAACTCTCATGTATCCATCACCCAGCTTCCATAGCTATTCACGGTATACCTTTTTTTCTGATAGACAACTCTGTATTATCTTTAGCAGGTAAGAATTAAAATTACACTTAAAAATTTTTTGAATGCTAGTAGAGAGAATAGTCCAGTGACCTCCCTGTACCCATCTCCACCTGTAATAATTATGACACCTGGCCAATCTCCCTTCATCTGCACACCGGCTACTCTGTATAATTTTTAAGCAAATATCAGAAGTCTGCAGTATGCCTCTAAAACGATTTTCCTTTTTAAAACGCAGCCCCAAAAGCATTCTCTCAACTAAAAATTTAAAACAATTCCTTAATAGCATCATTGTTCACATTTGTATGTTTTAAAATTTCACAACTGGTTGTTAGACTCATGATCCAAATAAGGTCTACACATTGCATTTGGCTAAGACTCTTCGTCTTACAGGTGCACGTCCCTCTGAAATTTTTTTTATCTTGTAACTTGTTGAAATATTTCAGCTGTTCGTCTTTTAAGCGAAGTGACACTTGAATGCTTGAGCGCCTGTTTCGTGCCAGGCATTGTGCTTTGAGCTACAAATAAAGGCATGAGCAGACAGTTATGGACACAAACCTAGATTTGCGACAAATCGTTGAGACTCTTTGGGCCTGGCTCACCGCTTCTCTAACAGAAGTGGATTGGACTAGATGTTTTCTAAAGGCTCTACTGTTATTCACATGGACCTCGTCTCATCATTATGATACACTGTGTCTACGCAAAACGCCAGCCAAGTAATCCAGGGAACCCTCGGCATAACCAAACCAAGCAAGGCACGAGTCCCGGCGGTCACCCACCTTCCTGGGTGCTCAGAAATCGATATTAACGCCGGAGGAGCTCGCCCGAGACGCTGGAAAATCTTCTACAACTGACGGTCGAGTCGGCCGGCTGTGCCTCGTTCTGACCTCGGTAGCGAGCGGTAACGGCTGCAACTCGGACCTCGGGGCGCGAGACCGCCCCCGCCCAACTACAATTCCCAGAGCCTTCTGCGGCAAGCCAGTTACCACAAAGATGGGCCGAGTTCGTCGGCTCTACGACCGTCAGTGACCTGGGCCTGCAGCTGATAGTGCGCAGGACAGCTACAATCCCAAGTCTTCCAAACGGGCCAGTTACGGATCCACGCCACCTAGCCTTTGGTTCTGGGGCCCGAGGAGGCTGAAAAATTCGGCTGGGCGGAGGCCTGAGGGAGGCCGGACTACATTTCCCAGGAGGCTCCGGGCACACGCCACTTCCGATCGTGGGGCACCGAAACGGTTATGTCTGGTTATTGCCAAGGAGACAAGTCCCGGGGTATTCGAGCTCTTGAAGTGTGTGAATAGAGGAGCGGAGACAGAAAAGAGGGCTGGGCGGGGCGTGGAAGGAGAATGGGAAGTTTGGTTATAAGGCAACGTTAAAGAGCGCTACTCCTTTCGTTCACCTATTTTGTTTCCACGGACGCTGAAGGCCCGCGCGAGCATCGCACAACCTTCTGGGAAATGCAGGCGACGTTGCCTGAAGGACTATGGGAAATGTAGTCATTAATTCACGACTTTGAGCACCTGCGATAAGACAAGCACGCTGAGCAAAGGGGATAAAACCCCGCCTTGTTGTCCAATCCGACACAAATTTTACCTCCCAAATACTCATACAGAATCTGTTCCTGTCTCTTCATACTAACCCTTAGAGCAGTATTTTAGACTGCATTTCCCAGTCAGCGTGCTCCCAGTCTCATTTCTCTCTATTCTCCATGCTAACACCAAAGTAGTTGTCCCTGTTCTGCTTAAAGCTCTTCAGTGGCTAACAGAATCAAGTCCACACTCTTTGGCTGGCATGTATATTTCACCTTACCAATTGTCTCCCACTACTCTCATACATAAGAACCATCCTCTAGATGGCTCTTCATCTCGTTTGTGATTAATGCTTTATAGCTATTGTCACTTTTTTTTACATGCAGAGCACATCTTCCTGAAACAGTTGCATCCAAAAAAGAGGGCGATAAACTCCAAGTGTAGTTAGATTTGTAAAATATTCTTGAAAAGTACTTGAAATAGGTTTCCATAAGTAGAAACCCAACTTCCTCATGCTCTCATAGAATTTTATTCCTCTGAACAAAACATTTTATTACATGACATGGTTAACTCACACCTAGCTGTTTTCTAGGCCTTGTAAAGTCACACAAAGATTTAAAAAAAGGAAAGTTATTGTATAAAGTACTTATCGCAAAGTTTCAGTAAGACTATAAATGTAAAATAGATGAATTATTTTATTTTACACAACATTTTGAATGTCAAGATCTATAATTGTGCCTAATCCAAAGAGCAGTAAGTGTGGAGTGACTCTGCACTGAGGCTTTAGAAAAAGGAGGCATACTTTTAAAGGCTATCAAAAAGCTTAGTAAGAATGAACTGTAGAGTGCAGAAAGATAGATGAAGTGTTGCTGACATCAAAGCACTAAGAACTTTCTGTTTGAAGTGGGAATACTTGGCAGACATGCCATCTACATTGGTTTTTAACTTCAGTAGGAAGAATGGCCTGTATCATGAATGTCGAAAATTACTTAACTGATAAAGCAGCATAGAAGCCACATCGAAATAATGTAATCTAAAAATGTATGTAATCTATTCCTAACATTTAAAAACAGAGTTTCCTCCCTCCTCATTTATTTAACTTTTTTTGGTTTTGGTTTTTAAAATGTGCAATTGTTCATTTCTTGCCTAAGGAGAGAGTACATTTGTTGAGAAAGCATCAGCCAAGGCCAGAATATTCATGTAATTCTTAACAATCAGGTTGGTGAGGCTGAAGTCAAGATCGAGAAGAGCCAGAGTTGAGTAATTTTCTTAAGTGGTACAAATTGTTACTTTTTCAATGAGTATCAGGAGTATCACTTTTGTAATGAACTCATATATATGTCCTTAGTTACCAGCAAAGCTCTACTCTTTGTTATAGCAATTTAGCCTATCCTATGGACACAATGGTCTTCTGGTGTCCCACACAAGTATGATGATCTCTAGGTGCTTTCTTGAACAATTTTGAGATATGGACATTGAAGTTACAAAGTAAGTAAGTTATGGTTGTCTTTATACAGAGAGAGCTTTGGAATATTACTTGGTCATTTAGTTTCAAGAAATATGCTAGTTCTATGCAACATACTTGCAAACCACTTTCAACTTCAACAATGGTTACTTGTCCTGCTGTTATCACTGATTATGTTGTCTTATTAGGTTTAGTCTCCGAGGGTGATACTCTTAGCCATGTCCACTTGTGGACTCATTTGCCCAGTTACCACAGACAGGAGAAAGACCATGGGTGTAATGTCCAGTTCTGTCCCTGTCCCTATCTTGCTGGGTAATCTTGGATTAGTCATTTGTCATCTTCTTCCCCCAAACCTGCTGCTCCTCTTCCATTAATGCCTCTGTGAATGGCATCTGTGGGAGGCTGAATAATGGCTCCCAAAGATATCAGATCCTAATCCCTGGAACCTGTAGATGTTACTTTTCTTGAAAAAAAGCATCTTTGTGGATGTGATTAAGGATGCTTAAATGGAGACATTACCCTGAATTATCTGAGTGAGCCCTAAATGCAATTATAAGTGTCCTTATAAGAGAGTGAAAGAGGGAGATTTGAGTCAGGTACACAGATGAGAAGGCGATGTGAAGAGGGCGCAGAGAGAGGTTTGAAGATTCTGGCTTTGAAGATTGAAGTGATACGGCTACAAAAAGGAGTGACAGCAGCTACCTCTATACTTGTCTTCCTTTCAATCCAGCCTTCAGGCTGTCATTAGAAGATTTTTTCTAAAACGGAAATCTGACTACATTAATCTGCAGTGAAAATCTTTCAATGGCACTTTAATGCCTCTAAGATAAAATCCTAACTCCTTGGCCTGGCCTGAGAGGCCCATCTTCTCCTACCACTCCCATTCCCTGCACACTCACACCCACTCACCTCGCTCCTCTCACCCACACACTCACCTCCTCACACACAATCTCACTCACTCACACACTCACTCTTCCACACATTCACTTGAGTCATGCTAAACTACTGAATTTCCCATGACTAGGCCATTTTATGCATCTGTGGCTCTCATGTGCATTGTCACATCTGTGATACAAAGAAAGAAATCTTATCTCAACCATATGCTAACACACGTATGGCAAAAATCACTGTTCAGTTAGAAAATAGTTCTGTGAAATTATAAATCAAAACTAGGATGCCAAGACCAGCAATCTTATTTTATCCTTCCCTGAAAAGGACTGATGGCTGAAAACACCTTCCTAAAATTCCACATTTAAACATATATATATCCCAAATAATTTTTTTCAATACAATTAAAAATGTCTATCAATAAAAACATATTTCAACATAAATGGTAATTTAAAATGTCTAATACATTCTGTACAACTACTGTACTTTTCCATGTGGAATAAAGACAATGTAAAAAATAAAATGAAATATCTAATATAAAATGCAAACATAAATGGTTATGTGGATATTGTGCAGCTGTAAAAAGGAACAAGGCAGCTCTATACGTATTTATACAAATCTCCAAGATAAAAAAGTGAAAAAAGCAAGTTATAGAAAAGTGTGAATAATTTGCATCTGTTTCCATAAAACACATTTGTAAGTGCATAGACTGCTTCTGACAATATGGAAGGGAAGCATGGGGACTTCTGAAGAGGAGAATGGGGCTGAAGGATGGCGAAGACAGGGAGACTTCTTCATTGAATGTTCTTTTGTAACTTGTGCATTTGTGGCCTATTTAAATTGAAAACATTTTTCTTGATTCAAAAACTTATGAGGGTTGCACTCTGGCCATAAATGTAAATGAAAGCTGCCGGGTTAATTTTTCTATTGAGCTCTGGGATAATCATGAAAAGTCAGATAAAATTAATTTATTTTTCTTTTCGAGCTTGTATTCTGCAAGATCAATCATTATTACTGTGGCTACTATGTAAAGATAATTTGCTTCAGTTTGCATTAATGTTATTTTGTGTTCCTCGCATTTATATGTCCCACCTGAGAGCAGGTTGGACAGCAGAAGGAAATTAACCTGGGCTTGAAATGTGCTCACAGATAATCCAGGCAGTTTAATAAGAGCTGACTGTAGTTCAATCTAAATTTACCAGAGGATAGTCATTTGCTGCAAACACCACTCTTAGGTTGCCCACATAGCTACATTTCAGTCCTCCCCACTATAAAATTGAAATGCACCCAAGCATATTTATTCATCTCAAGTGCCTCTACTTTTCTCCTACTGTCAGTTGAAAAGACTTACACCTAATTTTTAATCTACTTAATGTATTTTCCGGTTGGCTATGTTAAAAAATTATGAATGAACAATAGTCCTATGATTATTATTAAATCAACTTGTTTGTACAAAAAGTTATAATCTCACCATATTTGGTTATTCTTAGCATGAAATCTTTTGAGCATTTTCGCAAATTAGGTGTTATTACAACATAACATTGCTTTTATGTACATTACATGAAGTAATATTTAAGAATTAAATTCCCCTGAAGTCATAAAAATCTTTTTGGAAGATATATATGTATTCCACCTTCCACTTCACACCAGATATCAAAGATATCTAAGTAAAGGTGAAATCTTGGAGAAGTTAAATGCTAATATTCTTCAAAAATATCCTAGGTGAACTGTACACCAACGTTCCTAGCAAATGACAACAGCCAAACACCCCAAATGTCCATCAACAGATGAACAGATAAACAAAATATGTTATATACATACAATGGAATATTATTCAGCCTTAAAAGGGAAGTGCATTCTGATATATGCTACAGCATGGATGAACCTCGAAGACATTATGCTAAGTGAAGTAAGCCAGTCACAACAGAAAAATACTGTATGATTCCACTAATATGAGATAATTAGAGTAGTAAAATACATAAGACACAGAGTACAATAGTGGTGGCCAGGGAATGGGGGAGGGGGAATGAAGAGATAGTGCAGAGTTTCAGCTTGAGATGATGAAGAAGTTCTAGAAATGGATGGTGGTGATGGTTGCACAATAATATGAATGTACTTAATGACACAGAATGCACACTTAAAATGGCTAAAATGGTAAACTTTATGTTATTTATATTTCACAATTAAAAAGGACAACAGTATTGTTAAAATTTAAAAAATATTCTGCATGATCAGGTAAACCCTCCTGTCAGTTTATAATGAAAACATAACTGCATTGCTTACTGTTGTAATGAGGATAATATTTTGAAAATATTCATCTGCCATGTTCTCAATTCCTCCCCAAATCATGCTTTTCTCCCAGTAAGCAGAACATAGAGAATGAATTGGACAGGCCAGCTGTGGCAAAGGGTAAAGTGATCCTGCCATACAGCTACAAAGAAACTTGAGATGGATGAGAGACACAGATGGCTCTCAGAGATGTGCAGGGCCAGCCCCAGCCAGGATGGGGCCAAGTCAGCCTAGGGATCACTAGTTTCATGGGGAGAGCACATGAGACTCACCAGTCTTACACTTGGTGGGAGATGGCCAATAGGGTGGCCAGTGGACATCTTGACAGAGGTCAAGTAGGGAGCCAGAGGACCTTCCTTTGGAACAGCTGCCCCACCACAATGAGGGACACAAACACTGTCCCGACACCATGATATCATGTTGGGGAGAATGTAGAGGAAGTGGATTGTAATTTTGAATTAATTAAATATTTATTAGAGGCTGAACTAACCTGAAAACATTTAAATTGCAAGAGATGGAAATACAGTGGATTCTCATTATTCATGGTCATTATGTTCTGTAATGTTACCACAAACAATGGATTAATGAACACCAAAGCATTTCTCCCAGGGAAATACAGGGTTAGGTTCCTGCGTGCCTCTGATCACAATATTTTCAACTATTAATACATAACTTTATTTTCTGTATGCTTCTGTTTAAAGATACTTTATTTAATATATGTTGTTGATTAACACTGCACTCACAACTAACAGCACTATAATTCATGCTGGAATGAGGCTTATCTAACATATCTATTTTCATCATAAGGCACATCACAGCCTTTTTGTGCTTAGGAACCACCAGACAGCACTTCAGCACTACGTTTGGGGGGAGGGGCATTTTAATAACCAACAAAATAATAACCAATGAGAAGCACAAAAATATGAAAAAGTGGTACTAAATATACCACAACAAGGACACTGGTTTACAATACAACAGCTGAAACAAGAAGGCAGAGCGCTGCCTTCTTGTTTCGGCCTCAGTTGGGAATGTGCGTATCCAGTGATTCAAATTTTTTGCCACTCTGAATAACTGTCAAAGCATTGTGAGTATTGATTTGGGGGTTACAAATAAATTTTAGCAAGTAGGCAAATTCGCAAATACAAAATCCATGAATGAGGACTGACTGTACCTTCCTTTGCATGTTACATACTCCAAGTCTGTTAATTATCTAGGAGGGTAGGTGCATTAGAGTTAGACCAATTACAGAAAAGAAGAATCCATAATATTTTTTTTTTGCATATCCAAGGTATAGTAATTCAGTTTTTGACTACCTCACTATTTTTTTATAATAGAAGTTCCATGAGAGCAAGGGTTTTTATTTTGTTCATGCTGTATACTGTCTGCAACTAGAACAGTGTAGCCAATAGTAGATGCTCAACAAGTCGCTATTTGTTGAGTGAATTAAGAAATGAAAATCACATTCAAACCAATACGCATGGATTAGGCTATGACAGTTACAATTCCACAAGTTTTATAACTTGACATATGTGAAGGGGAAAACAAAACACCTCAGTTTTCCAGCTCTTTGAAGCAACCTGGGGCAAAGAAATCAAAATTCAGTAACAGGATTTTCTCACCTGAACTAAGGACAGGGCTTAGATTGTATGATTCAACTCCCTGGGCAACTGGTACCTGCAAGCAGGGAAGGAAAATTTTTTCAAGGGCCATTGGGAGAAGAAAACATCAGTAACTGGGTAAGATTTCAGATCTGCACTGGGAAAGAAGTTGACCTCACTTGGGATGCAGAAGAGTCCAGATGAAGGCTGGTTAGGTAATAATGGACATCTCCTCCCGGTCTCTGCTCTCAGACACTGAGTTGATTATGCTTTTTAAATACTTTATGAATTCCATCCGGATCTCTTCAGGGTCATCCTCAAGATTTGAGTGTACCAGCTTCAGCTTGTTCAAGGGTGGCGCTTAAAAAAGAAAGTAATGTAATTAGGCATGAACTTTTAATGAGAGCCATTTCCAGTTCCAGCTGACCTGAGTCTTACAGACGCCAACTCATTTAACTTCCTAAAGTCTAAAAATAAAGTTTTGTCTTGCTTGACATAACTTAACACAGTTTCTCCACACTGCCACATGGCAACAGGATAACAACTCTACAAGCCACTGCCAGGTCCTCTTTGTTCTTACACCAGAAAGGAAGAGAGTTTTCAATATGGTAAGTCATTTCCTATGATCACACTATCACTTCTGTAATGGTGTGTGTCACATGCAAATTGGAGTTTTTCTTGAGAAAAGGC